TTCTTCTCTAGGCCACCCCATCTCCCAGTCTCTATCCTCACCAGTCTTCTCCAATTTTGTAGACATAGATGATGTTGTCAGTCTGTCCTATGGCAATCTTAGTGGAATCAGGAGAAAAAGCCATGCCTTTCACCACATAGCTCTTCCTGCCATACTAAGAGTCAAAAAGAAAAAAAATTAGGAAAGGAAAGAAAAATAAGCAATGAGTATACTTACAAGGTAAGTAGCAATGAGTATGACTATAGTGGGCTTGAGGGATTTATACTGAGAAGAGGGCAGGCCATTTCCCATGCCTGTGGCTAGGAAGCTGGTTAGTTTTCCAGGTTTATAAGGCCCCATCAACAGGTTAAAGTACACATGAGTATTCTCTTCACCTTCATGTCAGCTGGTTTGGTGGAGAACTTATCTCTCCGCTCCCCATGTTCATCATACAGCAACACCACTCGGTCCACTGTGCAGACAGCAAATTTGGCATTGTTCTGGGACCATGCCATGCAGGTGACCTTTGCAGCTCCATCCTGCAGAGACAAAGAGGGCAAAAATAAACCCAGGTGCTGGTCTAGAATTCCAAAATCATTTCTAATTCCATTACTTCTAGTGTGACTTTTGTCAATTTTCCTATCAGAGACCTTAAAACAAAGAGATGCCCATGATCCATCCTGGTCTCCGAGGCCATAAAGCCCTGGACCGTGAGGGCAAAGTGCTTCTAGAAACCCATAATGCAAATGCACTAAGAAGTGACATGATAAATCAACTGTAACAATGTGTCCCTGCAATGGCCTTCTCATCCCCTCATATCCCAGGTCTGCTATTGAAATAAATGCAATTGGTCCAAATTTTGGTCCTCAGCCATTCATTCAGTTAATGTTTTTTCAGTACCTTATAGAGCAAGGCATTTGGCCAAGGGATGAGAGACAAAGAGCAAAATATGGTCCCTGCCCACAGATCTAATAAGATGGCACAAAAATGGGAAAAGTCCCATAAGAGAGGCACATACAAAGCACTGTAGTAGTTTAGAAAAGCCTTAGATAATTTTCTGTTTAAATGATCAACATTAAGCTATTAAGAATGGATACAGTTGAGTGGAGAAATTATCTGTGGCAGAAAGAATGGCACAAACAATGGCAAGTCCTGGTCAATAAACAGTAATTTAATTTAGTTGAAACTGTTTTATAACTAGCAGAATAGACAAGGTAAGGCAAGAAAGAGACTGAGGCCAGTTCAGAAACAGTCTTAGAAGCTAGGCTAACAAGTTTAGGCTTATTTAGTAGGAAAGGAAGAGACAGTGAAAGTTCTGGAATGGAGAGTAAAATAACCAGAGTTGAGACTTAAGATAAACAATATCACTTTGTTTTTGTTTTTTTCCTTAACAATCCACTTCATAGAAGCCCAAGTGAGAGGTGATCAACTCTCAGTGAATTATTCTTGTCATATCTGTCCCTCCCACCACCAGCCCTGGTTGTCTACTGTGGTGCACTAAGGATTTCCCACCTTGAAATAAAGAATTTAGTTTCTGCTCCAGTTGTTTGATTAGTTATTTGGGCTCTAGAGCTCTGACTTAAAACATTGTTACTTTTCACTCCTAACCTACCTATCTCCAAAGTCAGAGGTAAAAAGGCTTTTTTTCACCAATATCCTCAAACCAGAGTCAGAAAATAGCCACACCACCGCCTTTAGACCCCTCCAACTCTTGATTAAATTAGGGTAGAATGGTTGGGGGCTTCTCACCAATTGTTGCTGATCATCTTCCTTCATCGTTTTGCCCAATCCTGGACATTCAGCCCTTTCTTACATCATGACATCATCTTATTTTGAGAGATTGAAGAAGGATTTCATTTCCAATTATTCCATTAGTAATAAAGGAATTTTAAAATCACAGATTCAGGGGATGGCTTACTGAGCAATGAGCACATCTCTTTTGTTCTAATTTCCTTCTATCCTCCTAATGCCATATTTTCTGTGAAGCCTTTCTGATTCCCATAATCTATCAATTCTCCTTTCTCCTTGCTAAGTACTTCATATGAATTATCTAATTTTATCTCATAACTGAGGTAGATGCTATTATTATGCATCTTTTACAGATGGGGAAACTGAGGCACGGAAAGGTTAAGTAATTTGCTCAAACTTACATACACAGTTTGTAAATGGCAGAACCAAGATTTAAACCCATGCATGTCTGACTCCATAATCCACAATTCTAATTTCTTTATTATACTGCCTTGGTACACCTTAAACATTCAGTTATGGCTGATACTCTTACTAGCTTTGTATTATTTTGTCCTTTGCATTTTGAATGTCCTTCTCTCTTGTCTATCAGCTTTCATGCTGCTTTTCAGTTTACAATGTTCTCTTGTGTATACTACCTCCTTTAACTCTTTCCCGCTTCGTCTATGGCTGCGATTATTATTACTCCCATTGTTCAAATGTAGAAGTTTGGATGCGTGCTCAGAGAGACTATGCGATAAGGGCTAAAGTCAGCGGTATCAGGTCATTTACTTAAAGCAGTGGTGGCGCTAGGGCTTGAACTCTGCTCTCCTAACTCCAAAACCCAGCCATTCGTCATCATGTTCCAGGGTTCCTATCCTAGCGCCCATGCCTCTTCAGAATTTGAGATCTTCACCATCAGAACGAGAAGTGTGGTCGTCTGCACTACCTCTGTAGGGCTTGCACCCAAAAGCGCTTATTTAAGTCGGTGTAGACTTGTGCTCGTTGTTTACAAATGCGCCTCCCTCTCTAGTACGAGCCTCTTGAAGGGAGGGGCAATCACTAATTAGAGCCCCAAGACCCGACCTGGTACTGATTAAAGGCAACATAATGAAAGCTGCGGTGGTTAGTGGCTCATCTCGCCCACTCAACATTCTACCGACAGAGAGGAGTCCAAATCATCGCTACAACCTTCAGTCTTCTGCACACAGTAGGCGCTCAACGTTTTAAAACTTCAGTCCCCCACTTTTCTTGGAACATTAAGGCGAACGGGGGAGGGAAGAGGCGCGCGACTCCTCACCTGAGGGCTCAGCAGGGTCCTCAGATGCTTCAACTGCATGACGAACACCTGTCTCTCAGATGCCACCAGACAGCGACAACTCCCGTGGTTACCTGGACAACCCGCCACGCAGCTGCAGCGACAGCCGCTGACGCCAATGCTACCGGAGCTTAACAAGCGTCGCAAGGTCACCACGTAGCTTCGCGGCGAAGCAAATAGAACGTGCGCAGGCGCCGTGAGATCTAGGGCGGGACCCTGAGAGGGCGTGATGAATCCTCTCCTCTACCAATCCCGTCGCGGCATGCAAACCCAAACTCAAGCCACGCCCACAAGCCTCCCGCAAACTCCGGTCCTACGTAATCGAAGTCTCTCGCTCTTTGATGTACGTAAGTGTGGTGGAGTGCATACTTTTAATCCTCACAACCCTGGAAGAAAGCAGGGCAGTTGCTATTATAGGCCATTTCCATTTGATGGAATTGAACCCACATAGGTTATATAACTTGCAATGGGATCACAAGGCTGATAATGATAGCTAACAGGGAATACTGAGTATGTGTCTGCCAGGTACAGTACAAATTGTTGTACACGTATTATATCTCATTTAAATCTCAAAGCTACCTTTTGAAAGAGATAGCATTCTTAGTCCTATTTTACATAACAGGAGACTCAGGATTAGAGGGGTCTCTTGCCTAAACTAACACAAATGCGTAAAGGACAGAACCGCAACTCAACCTAGAGCTGGTATTTAAACAGCATTTATATTCCTTCTGAATTTTTAGCTCCCTATCTCTCTGCCATGCTACTATATATCCTGTGACACTCCCATCCCCAGAAATGATGATGTGTCCAGAGTCTGAGAGATGAGTGCTTTGGAACCAGTGGCCAGAGAGAGGTAAGTTACCTTACTTTTGAATTGGGTAACGGTGGGTTAAAGACTACTGCTTAGATCAGGATGCTTTTATGGTTCAGGGCAGAGGGCAAACCAGACCTTGGCTCACCTGATAGGTTAAGTCTTGTGATAATGGAGACTGGAGCTTGGTTAAGTAGAAAAGATACTGACTTCTTGATCTTCGTTTGGATTGGGGTCCCCTTCAGAATTATTGGTCTAATTTCTTACAACATAGCAGAGAGATCAAGATGCAGAAAAGGAGAGTTATTTATAAGCCTCCTCTGGAAGGATCATACATTGAGAAGACTGTAACCCTTCAGACAGTGTAGCATATGCTATCCAGACAGATTCTTGTTTCTGATGCCTTTCCTCCATAGTGGTTGCAAAAGTCAACAAGTATTTCTCTCACTGGCACCAACCCCCCTTGGAACTTAGGAAAAAGTAGAGGACAGTCCCTATCTTCACAGAAACAAGTAGGCTCCAGAGCCCAAATTATAATTCTTTTGACAGGAGAGTTCCAACCCCAGTTTTATTTCCAGAATCCTCCTCAGGATATAGTGGCAGATAGTGAATATAAACTCATTTATACTTTACAATTATTATTGACTTTGACTGAATGAACAGAGAGACAAACAGACAAAAGGGAAAGTAAGGGCAGGGAAGAAGAGGCACAGGAATGCACAGGAAAGGAGCACTTGGCACCCAGGGATCCATTAGTATAACTGCTCTTTCATTTGTCCCAAGACACTGTTCAGTCCTTTTCTGAAAATTAGCTCAGGGTTGATGAAGTCAGAGGGATAAATGGTGAGGAGCTGGGCTGCTGATGTGGGCAGTGAAGATAAAAAGGCTACTGACCCTCTCATGTGACATAATCTTAATTTCCACTGGTGCAGGAAGAATTTATATTCTCTTTTTTCCCTTCTCCCCTTTCTCACCCATCAAACAAAAGGAACTAGGACTCTAGATTTCTATGCTCCTTTCTGGCCCGTCTCTACCCATTCCAGGCAAACACCTTAGAATAAGAGTTTGCTCTTGTACAGTTGGTGTTGGTGTGAGGGGCAGTTGTAGTCAAGGGAGAGACAGTGGAGAAATGTCTTCAGCATACTATACGTATACCATAGAGTCAGCTCCAGTTTGTCCAAGAAACTTTATTGGAAAAATGTCCAAGGGGTGAGATCACCAGCAGCTGGAAAGGCTGCCAGGTGAGAGGGGGAGCACCTGAGGCTCCATGGAAGACATTGGAGTAGTGCAGTGCAGCATCTGCCTCCAGGCCCAGACAATTCCTTTTATTTGCTGGGGGAGGGGGAGTACCCACAGAAACACTCCTCTCTGAGACCCAGAGGCAAGATGTAGGGGCAGCTGGGGATGCTGAGAGTCCTGATGCAGGTGAAATGAGGGCCCCATTTGGGACCTAATGGGATAAAGTTAAACAAGTGACTCTCCCCTGGACCTGGGGGATGGAAGGACATATCCCACCTGATGTCCACTCCCCAGGTCCAGGGGCACAGACCCTGACAGACCTACCTTCTGGCCCTGCTCACAGTGCAAAGAGGATGGATACCAGGCCTGAGATTGTGGGAGTGTCATTACCCTCTGGGAGATTGTGGGATCCTTCAGTCTTGGGTAGATCACCATCTTAGGCTCTCCCTGACCCCATTCCCATCCCCAGGTTGTTAGTGCATCTGTCTTCTGGTTCTGTTTCTTCACTCATACGTCGATGGTGTTAATAGATGGTGACTTTTTCTGAACAAAAAAAAAAAAACAAACAACAAAAGATGGCTTGAGTCTATAATTTCAGGAAGGTGATAGCCTCCTCCATCCAGAATTTCTGTTCTCCCTCTTTCCTGCCCTTCTGTGCCCTTCTCCCTTTCCCTTGCTGCTCCTAGAGGCCAAATCACCCCTCCCTCCCTCACTGGCCCCACATCACCTGTCTTGTCCCCACTGGCCTCCCCTGAGGACTGTGTTCCGGCCCCTTCCCCTTCTCCTTGGGGTTGTTGTTGGAGTCGTTGTCCTTGATGATGTCATACTGACGGCAGAATAGCCCAATCACAGCTGAAACACAACAGTACAATCCGAGCCTTGATCTTGACCTCCCCACTCACAGCCTCCAAAGGCAGTGAGATACCCATGCAGATTCTAGAAAATCTGCAAAGAAAATCTTTGAATTCCTGGTGCTCATGCACAAGCACCCCCTCTTCATCATCCTCTCTGGGCTCCCAACAGCCTCCTCTCCCTTTCTTCAAACCTTTCCTGCTCATCCCCCTCAACTAAACATCTCCCCAGGCCACTGCTCTCACCCCCTTTTCTTCTGACAACCTTCACCACCTCCCTCTCTCACAGAGCCCCACTCCCTCAATCCCTGGCCCCCCACCAGGTGCTTACTCACCAGCCCACATGAGCAACACGACCACAATGATGACCACTTCTCCTGTCTGCAGTGGTCGCTCTCCGTCCAGACCCTCAACTGTGATGTCACCTGAGAAGGAAGGAGACAGACCCCAGGTTATGGAGAGCAGCTAGAGAGCTATGTCTATGCAGACAGTTAAGGATGGAGATGCGGGGAATTAGAGTTACAGTTGACCCATCACAGTGTCGCCCTGGGGTAGCCCCTCTCTGGGAAGCTGTTGGTGGACAAGTGGTTAGAGACCAGAAAGCAGGAGGGCTGCAGGACAGGTACTCAATCATGCAGGCTGCAGCTGCTCTGAACTGAGGCTGTGTAAAAGGAAGCTTAAAAGCCCTTCCTCCAATTTGTTACCAGCCTGTCTATACCCAGTCCCTTGCCAACCTGCTTCCCTTCCTTTCCTGGCAGTACAATGAATTAAATCATCCTTCTATTCATCTAAGCTAGACTGCTTCTTGCTTTGGGGAAGTAAACAAGAGACTAAAGACCAGGTAAATAACCAGAGAATCCAAAGCTTTCAGGAGTGAGGAATAACTGAGACTCTCACCTGGGCTTGAGCTGTTTGAGGGTAGCCGGTCAGAACCCTTGAGAGTTCGGAAGTGCACCCGGGGCCCTGGGGGGCTTTCTCCTCGAAGGCCGATGCTTCTGACCTGCACTGTGTAGTCACTGTCTTCAGCCAGGCCCCAGAGGGCACAGGCCCGAGTGGTGGTGTTTACCTCCCGGATCACACGTTGCCCAGGGCCATTCTGTCGCTGCAGGGAGATGAGAGCAGAGGGCAGTCTCACTCTGGTCCCGGGCCACAAGGCTCAACCCAGGACTCTTGAATATCTAAGCCCTCCAAGGAAGTTGGGTGAAAAGGGCAGCTTGAGCCAGGGAACCCAACTCCCAGATTCTCCCTTGGCTGGGAGGGGAGCATGGAAGGGGTAGGGGAGGTAACCCGAGGAATGTTCTGAGATCCAAGGACACAAGTTGGGGGAGCAGAAGGGTGATTCATACTTGCTGGGAAATGGAGTAGCCAATGACGATGTTGCCTTCTGGGACGTCCCAGGACACAGTAGCCGAGTTGGCTCTGAGGTGAGTGACTGTCACATTCACAGGAGATGGAGGCCGGTCTGTGGGTGCCAGTGTGTTAACAAGTTAACAGGTTCCACCCACGGACTAGCTCTGGGACAACCCGCACCTCTCCCCGTTTACTCACCTGCTCGCACAAAGCCCAGGTCACAGCTGACCAGCAGGAGGACCGTGGGGCTTAGATATGGGGAGAGGGGCATCAGTGAAGCCATGGTCCCCACCGAGTCCGCTGGGAGGCACTGAGGCATCCGTTTGACATCCAGGCGGGGCTCCTGAGGTGGCAGGAGTTGTGGGGGGTCAAGGACTAGCCAGAACGCACTGGTGGTAGGCAGCTCTCCCCCTTGGCCCACAGCAGCCCCAGAGCACCCCCACTTCCCCATGCCTTCCCCGCCCCCACAACACCCAGGCGCCCCCAGTGCACGGCTCTGCCCTGCCCACACCCACCTCCGCCGGTCCTCGCGGTCAGGCCTCGGGGGGCTGCTCGGTGCCCAGAGGGCGGCCCATCGCCCGACTCCGTGGCGCTGCCCCT